TAGGTCCAGGGCAGCATCTGTCACTGCTATTCATTCCACATCACTGTCAGGAGGAGCTGACAGGTGACAGTGGCTGCCGTTCACACTTCCCCTGGCACCAGGCCCTCCTCTTGTTTTATTTAAAACTGCCCAGAAATGGTGCCTGCTGTTGCCTGGAGCAGGAGGTGACCTGAACGATGTGAAATGTGTTTCTCAGGCGTTAACGGGACCATTAGTCACCTTGCAGGCTCGTGCGCTGGGCAATGTGAGAGACATGCAGCTGCCATGGAGACAAGGCTGTCAGGCACTGTGACACTTTGGGCTGTCAACTGACTTGGCCCTGTTCGTTCCCACCTCCCTGCTCACTGAGGTCCTTCCCCAGGGAGATTAGAAGCCGCCCAGTGCAGTTCTGTGGTCTGACTGCCGGAAGTGGGACTCGGCCAGGCGGGCCCTTGCTCCGGGCTGGTTCTGTCTGGAAGGCTGCTTGGGACGCCCTCTTCTAGCCGGTGCTGCTGTCCTCAGGCTCCTCTTTTCTCCAGCATGTGGTTTCATCTCTCATCATACCCAGCAGGACCTTCTTTCTTTTTGGTTTGTTTGAGACAGGGTCTTGCTATGTAGCCCAGGCTGGTCTTGAACTCAGCGCAGTCTTCCTGCCTCGGCCTCCCCAGTGCTGGGATTACAAGTGTGTGCTCCACCACATCCGGCTTCCCAGCAGGAGTTTCTGTGCCTGCCCCTCCATTTCCCCCACTGCATCCTCGGCTTGTTCCACCTGAGCAGTTTCCCCTGGCACCAGCTTGATGTTTGGGATTTGGGGAGCAATCATCTGGGACCACTTCGCTATTTATGAGTCCAGCGGGTTTTGTTTTGGGACATGGGTGTTCCCTGAGTGCACTTCGCACCCTGCCTCTTCCTCCACCTGCCCCCCACCCCCACCCCCACTATGCTCTTCTGGGTGTTGAGGCTACAGCTCCTGGAATCGTTCTTGGCCCATCATTTTCTTCGACCCACATTCCACCTGCAGCCAAGTACATCCGGGATCTGCCCGCTGCTCCGGCCTCTCTGGTCCACATGCTGCACCACCCTCACCCGAACTACACACATCACCTCTCCAGCTCCCTGCTCCCAGGTCATCCCCCATTCTACTGTCCCGCAGCTGCCAGAGGGAGACTGTTACCACCTCGGGGGTTCCCCCTGTGCGCCTCTGTCCCCCAGAATAAAAGCCACACAGCTGGGAAGACTCTTAACTTCCCCTTTCCCTTCTCCAGCCACGTCGGCCTGCTGGCCCTGCCCTGGCCATGCTGCCCCAGGGCCCCCTGGCCACAATCGGTATACTCCACAGGGCCTTTGCACAGGCTGTTCCTTCTGCTTTGCCCAAATGTTGCTTTTGCAACCAGGCCTTCCCTAGCTACTTAACTTAAATAATTTAAAGTGAAAACATGCAGTTAAAAGCCGCGGCCCCTTTCAGGCTTCTCTGCTTTGTTTTACTCCATGGGTTTGTCAGCATCTGACATAAGTATATTTTCCTTGTTGTCAAGTGACTGACGGAATCACTCTGGTGACCATGTTATGGTCTGAACAAGGATTTGGGATGTTTGATGACTTAAAAACATCGCGCGGTGCGTCTGGGTTTGGGGATGCCCATGTGCACATCTAGAACAGGCCCCGCTTTGTCAGTGGAGACGCACTTGCCCGTCTGTGGCTGAAGCAATGAATAACCCTTCCCCGGGACTGAAAGGCCCCATTGACACAGTCCCCGCAGGCTTCGCGAATGTCAGCGCAAGTGAGTCATGGGTGAAGGGTTGCAGGGTGAGCCGCCCGATGACTAAAGCCCCTGTGATGTCACCAGAGCCAGTGATGAGGAGGAATTTAGGGTTAGAGGCGACTCCTGCCTCTGAAGGGAAAGTGACTTCAACAGGGGATGCCGGGCCCGTGATGCAGGCCACAGCCCTGACCCTGCGTCACTTGTAACTGTCTGGCCTTACCAGGCCACCCCGCTTCTCTGAGCTTCCTTGCGAGCAGAGTGAAGATTGGCTCCATTCATTCGTCGGTGTTTATGGGATGGAGATGCTGGCGCCTGCGCCCACCGTCGGGGAGAGAAGCGGGTGACAGATGACGAGGAAGGAAGGACAACAGCTGCGCTACTGGGAAGATCATGAAGGAAGGAGAGGAGAGGGGCGGAGAGTTGGGGACAGCGCGAGCATCAAGAGGGGTTGGCAGCAGGTGGAGGGCTGTGGGCTTGGCGAGCCCAGTGACTATCCGGGCAGAGGGACGGCAAAGACCACGGCTCCGAGAGGGAGGCTGTGTGGTGAGGCAGGGAGGCGAGCCCGTGCGGTTTAATCCACACTGTGTGCTGAAAAAAGAGAAGGAGAAGAGAAGGAAGGAGGACGAGGAGAAGGAGGAGCCAACAGACAACAAAGGCACCAGCTGGACAGCTGCCGTGTAGCACCAGCAGGGGGCGGTAGATCACTTCAAAACCTTGATTTAGGCACAACTGCACTTTGAACAAGTCACATTCTTTAAATCAACTTTCTTCTGTTAAAAATTTACTTCTTCTCATTCTTAGCAATAAAATGTGTGGATTCACAGAATTTCTTTACTGCCTTGATGTTTTCCTGAACGTACATTAAAATAAACACATCACAGCCACTGCAACAATAGCAACACTTTGTCAGCACTTTCCGTGAGTCCCCTGAGTCCCCTCGGTTCCGACAGCTTCAGAAAGATTGGCACCTTTAGTTTACACAACCATTTTAAGAGAGACACAGATGGAAGTCACTGAGCTTGGCTGGGATCTCACTGCGGCAGGTGTTTGGTGTGGGATTTAAACCCAGGACCTGAAATCAGGGTTGTACTCTGCTGCCTCTACACAGTTTGAGAACCATAGTGGGCTTGTGACTCCCAGGTGTGCACACCTGATATCTCTCAGCACTGTGGCCTGTAGAGTCTGGAGCCAGGGCTGTGGGTGGGGAGAGGGGCCAGTCATTCTTAGACGCCATGGTGCCATGGTGCCTCATCCACAAGAGGTTGGGGTCAGGGAGGCAAGGTCTCTTCCAGAAGGGCAGGGGTGGTGGGAGGTGGGATCTGGAATAAATCTCCACAGCCCTGCAAAGTTGTGCCAGCACAGTGGGCCTGTCATTGCTGCTGCGTGACATCTGTCCAGGGTCACAGGGACGGCCTGCCTCTGGGCAGAAAGGACAACCGTTCTCCCTGGTCAAGTAGTGAGGTGCATTTATATTGGACCTGCCCTGGGGGTGGGGTGCTGGCATTTGAAAGCGGCCACTCTGTTTCCAGCTCGAACTGGGCTCAGAACTAAACTCCCCTCCTCTTGGGCCTCAGTTTCTCCATCTGTAAAGCAAAGGGCCTGAGTCAGAAGTTCTTTCCCAGCTTTGATATTATTTTTGAGTCATCCTCACAGGGCACTCACTTTTCTTCTCTGACGGGAATCTGAATTTTTGATGCTTTCTCCAAATTTGGCAATATCGGCTGTCTCAGGCTTTGAGATTTCAGATGCCTCAATCTGTCAAAAGCAGACATGACCACATGTGCACTGGGATGGCAGCAACTAAAACCCCCAGAAAATAGCAAGTACAGGAGAGGATCCCGGAGCCCTTGTGCACTGTTGGTGGGAATATCAAATTAAGTTGTTCAACAGGTTAAAAGTAGAAAGTAGAAGTAATAGGTGCATTTTCTAAGTTAAAAAACCTCTCACAAATAAATGATATTTCTTGGTGATGGCATTTCTTCTTCTTTTTTTTTTCTGGTACCAGGGATTGAACTCGGGTCCTTGCGCTTGCGAGGCAGGTGGCGGTGGAACCACTGAGCTAAATCTCTGGCCCTATTTCTTCTTAAAAACTATTTTCATGTATGCTTTCAATTTTCTACCATGAGAGAGCAAGGTCTTTACATTTTAAAAAAGGATATTTGTAAAGATAACACTGTTCCTGAAGAGTGGTAGGGAGGATCAAATTAGACCAACAGGGAAATATGTTTACTTTCTATTGAGGTTTTTGAGCAGGTGAAAAATATACAAACAGTGAATCATTTTGGCTGTGCATGAAATCAACCCCCATGATGTCACAAGGAAGGACTGAATGGGGAGGGGTGGCGGCTTCTCCTAAACGTGGCCATGGTATCTGAGTGAAGGACAGAAGTCTGAGAAATAGCCATGGGAATATCTTAGAAAAGGCTGTATTCTTTTCATGCTGACATGACCCTAGTTTTAGGCCTGACTTTTAGCCTGGGGCTCGTGAAGGAGCGTTTATTCCCATGCATGTGACAGGGTGGCCTTAATGATTTTCTCCTGTCCACGTGGAAGGGGCCAAAAGAGAGCCTCATTTTGACCTTAGGGTGTAATTCTTACAATTACCCCTAGGTGGGGGTGTAGGACAAGGAACGGTCAGCATGTCTCCAACCATCCAGACTGGGAGTGCAGCTTGAGCTCTGGAGGGTCAGCACGCGAATGCGGGTTTCAGGCATCTTAAAGCGTGTGGGTAAAATGCGTTATAAAGGGGGAGGGGAATGAACTGTGTGCAGCATCTGCTGTGGGGCAAGGAACCCCGGGCTAATTTGTATGTAAACCTCTTCCTCCTTCCTCCCCATTTCTAAATAAATCAGGGCTCACGCAGGAAACCCTAATGAGTGAAAAAGGTGTGGGGTGTAAGACACCATGCTCACTTGAAGTGACTGCCATTTCCCACTATGGGTAAAAATTCTAAGTAGAGCAGAACGTTTTTCTACTATTAAATTACAGCCCCGGAAGCTGCAGCAGACACTGGGTGGACAGCAGGCAGTGACAGGGATCGTGAGCCAGGGAGAGCCAGGCCCAGCAAAAGGCTCAGCTGGCCTCAGCTGCACTGGTGGCTGCTTGCAGGGTTACAAGCCCGGTGCTGTTGAGAAACCAGGAATCGCGATTTTATTGTAGGTGCTCCATGTTTTAAGTGGTTGGTGACTCACAATGCAACGTGTTGCCCATACAAACCGGGCTGGATGTGGTCTCTGTTCAACTGGTTCTCAATCTCTGTGAAGGCCTCACAGCAGGAAGAAGGGTCCTCCGGTCCCCAGAAGTCTGACCTGGTGCCTCGTTCACCTGTCACCCATCCTGCCATGTGCAGCTGTCAGGGTCAAGGCCTTTCTGTGGGGCTTCTCAACCGAGAAGAGGCAAAGCAGGATGGAGGCCAAATCCCCAGCCTCCGTCAGGAGTTAGTGACCAGGAAATCTGGAGGATGCAGCCTGATTCGCAGTGGGTAACTTGGGGAAATAGCCCAAATCCCATCAACGGATAAGAGGGTAAGCACAGACATGGAAAGAAATGGAATATGATCCATGCCAAGGCATGGACAGATTTTGAAAGCATTATGTTAAGTGAAAGAAGCCGGGGGGGAAAGGCCATGTTTTGTATGATTCTGTGATATGAAATAGATGGAGAAAGGAAATCAATGGAGACAACAGATGATCGGTTGCCAGGGGCTGGGCTGAGGGAAGGGAGAACAGCTGCTAAGGGATCCAGGGTTCCCGCTTGGTGGTGGAAATGCTCTGGAACCAGAAAATGCTGCTGATGGTCACTGATGGTACCTTTTGTGCTGTTTTATGGTAATTCCAAAAAGAAACCTCCGAGTCAGAGGAAATCAGACTTTGGGCTCCTCTCTCTCTCCCATTGGTGTGGAGACTGGCTTTGCAGCTGTCTCTGCTCTTGGATCCTTCTGGGTGTGAATCATTACACCTCAAGTGCAGACCCCAGGCCTCAAGTTTCACTGTGTGCCCACAGCGCCTGGGGCCTGACGGAAGTGTAGCCTCTGGCAGCAGGTCTGAGGCTGTGCATTTCTCCAAGCTCCTGGGGATGCTCAGGTGTGGGCCCCTGACTGCCTTTGGAGCACTGAGCATGGAGTACGGACAGGTAAAACAAGGCACAGGGATCGTGAGAAACACAGAGCGTGGCCAAGGTCCAACACCGCAGGAGGGACGGAGCCACCACACTGAGCTCATCCCAAGTCAGCTAAGCCTCGGGGCGGAGGGGAGAGAGGCAGAGGTGGGACTTGATATTCAAACAAGCTCCCTGAGTCCCCTCCTGCCCACCCTGGTGGTGGTAATCTTGTCTCACCTTGTTGGTTGTGATTGTCTTTAAAGATGCAAACTGTTCATACAACATGACTCCTGAATGTGACTGAGCTGTTCATTCTGTGCTCAAAGGAAGACACAGAAACCTCCTCAGACACTAGAGGAAAATTGGTGTGTTTTCTTTCACCACAAGGGGCAGTTATGTCAACAGAGTGTACTGTGATTTATCCAGTTTGCATTGAGCTTCCTGTAGCCAGGAACTGATTAATGTTATCAGCCAGAAAGCTTCTGGCAGCAGTGGCAGAGAGCCCAACTCGAGTGGCTTAAGGATAGTCACTGTTTACCTAGAGGAAGATGGGAGCTAGGGGCCCAGGCTGCCTGGGTAGCACTGGATGTAACCCAGGGCCCAAACTCTCCTTTCCCTCCCCTTCCCTTCCCTCCCCAACATCTTGGCTCGTCCTTAGCCTGGTGCCTCAGAGTCACATGATGGTGGCTGCTCAGGACAGCATGCAACACAGGAGAGGAAGGAGGAGCTAAGTGTCACCCCCATGCAATCCTGTATTTAGTAGGGAGGAAGTGCCTGGTGCCCTCCACACACACACACACACACACACACACACCTTGGACTTTATTTTTTACTTTATCAGTATCTAACTTAATATATGTTATATTTACTTTTCCTTATTGTCTGACTTTCCTGAATGAAATGCAAGATCAAGAAGGCTAGGAGTTTGCAGGTTTTATTCAATGATGTAATCCTGTGCTTGCACCAGGATGTGGCATTGAAGAGGTGCTTAATAGATACTTTTGTTTTTGTTTTTTGAGACAGGGTCTTGCTATGTAGTTCAGGCTGGCTTTGAACTCACCAATGAAGGCTGGTCTCGAACTCTTGGTGATCCTCCTGCCTCAGCCTCCCCAGCGCTGGGATTACAGGCGAGCACCACAATGCCCAGCCAATAGATACTTGTTAAATGCCTGAGTGAGTGAATGCTGGTCTCCGGTGCCAGCCACAGCGCCACATTCCTACAGATGATAGAGGTGCTAGCGTCAATGGCTGAGCCCATGGTAGCTGAGCCTTCAGAGTTAGCAGAGCATCTGCTCCCTATCATTGGAGCCCAAGCACTAAGCAGGCCCTGGGAGAAGGAGGGATTCTGAGGGACCCCTACCTCTTTCTGGCCACCCAATGGCTGCGTCTGATTGGTGCATCTCCTGTCACATGTCTGTGCCCTGCCACAGGGAAGGCTGGGAAAGTGAGTCCAACTGTGGCAGGCAGCTCCACACCATAAAACTGAGCTTCTTCAGAACTGGAAGGATGTTTGGAGCCCAAACAACAAAACCAGGAACAGTTCCACTGCAAACCCTGGATGGAACTGGAAGCTCAGAGGGTGAAACCTCTGGTGGTCCGAAGGCTGTGAGGTGTGCTTGGCAGGGAATAGTATTTATAGTGATATTAATCGAAGGCTTTCTATGTGCCCAGTGAGTCTAAGCCGTTTGTATGCAATGAATGACACTCTTTATTCTTACAACAACTTTATGAGGTGTGTATCTATCAACAACACACAGCCTTTGTACAGGTGAGGAAAATGAGGCTCAGGAAAAAGTATTCATTCTTAGCCCTTTGCATGCCATCCCCTGGACATGCCCCACTGGGGCTGCCACACTGACAGCCTCTGGGCTCCAGCCCGGCAGCCTTGCCCGACCCTCCGGTTCACACATACAGGATGCCCGCCTGGGCCCTGAAGCTTTTGGTGTCCAGGGGTCAGGGGTGGACTGAGGCGGAGAGAGAACTTGGGGACTCAGAGGGCTCAGCTCTGTGGTTCTTGGCCAGCATTGGGAACAGCTTGCTTGAGCCAGGCTTCCCCAGTGCACAGGTGGGGATGTGGACATTCCTGGGGCTTCCGAGAAGGAACACGGGAGAAAAAAGGAGGTGGTGGGAGGGGAGCGGCAGCCAGCTTCCCTGGGCCTCTGACTTTAGTCCAGGGTTACGTGGAGCAGGGACTTCTCAGTGGGATTTTCAGCACCCAAACCTTGGATGCTGGTGGAGGGCTGGGCAGCAGCCCGGGTGATCAGCAGTCCTGGTTTGTGCAGGACTTTGAGGGCTGCAAGTAGGAAAGCCCTGGGGACACCAGGAGGGTCGGTGACCCTGGTAGAAAGCCAGCTCCCCTCACCCCCGCCCCCCCAACCCTGGTGCTCCTGGCTCCAGCAGTTCGGGTTTGGACCAGCACTTCTGGAATCTCACCATGCACGCCGATCTTTGGGACTCTGGTTGAAAGGCAGGCTCTGGTCCCTCAGGGCTGGCATGGGCCTGGTGTGTGTGTGGGGGTCCTGCATTTCCAAAAAACTTCAGGGGCGCAGGTGTCACTGGTCCACGGACCACCCTTTGAGTGTTGATGGCGGAAATATCCGAAGTCTTCTGGCAAAGCAGCTGCCTTCAACTATAACCTGGAGAAAAGAGTTGTGGCCACTCAAAGAGCACATCTGCACTTCCTGAGGACTCCTTGCCACAGGGTAGTCCAGCCCTGGCTTTGCCGTGCAGATCGGCTGCTGTTTCTTTTGAAAACCCACACATACCACGGCAGACAGTACTCAACAAGGCGCTGTATATTTGGGTTGCTTTTCAATTGTTTGGTAGCCCCTGCATGGTTGCGGTGTGATTGCATTTTTCATTTTCCTCTCCTCCTTTCATCTCACTCTCTTTTCACCTCTCAGCAGTCCGGGTCGGTGGGCGAATGAAGATGAGAACTCTCCCTGGAGGTCAGCTGGCAGGCGCGTGCAGTAAAGACCCCCCCACCTGAGCAAGCAGAGGCCGGCCTGTCGGAATCGCTGGGAGGGACAACGCTGGCACCCGAGCACCCAGGAACGAAGGGCCGAGTGGAGAGCAGGCGTCTCCGCGAGCGCTGCCTGCGTCCCCGCCCCTCTCAGCAGCCTTGCTGACAGTGACCAGTCCTCGCCACAGGAACCGGCCAGGCTGAGGGACTGGGTGGTGCAGCACCTTGGACCTGTCTTGAGGGCGGCCCTGGCGAGCTTCTTCTACCTGGGCCTCCTCTGGACACTGGCGGTGATGACTCTGCCTTCGGAGCTGGCGGTGACAGGGTGACCCAGTTCCCGTTGCTGGAGCGAAATACCCAATGCTGGGAATTTCACAAAGACAGGCAATGGCACTCACATCTGCTGGGCTCTGGCCAGGCCCCTTGGCTATGTGGCATCATGGCGCCGGCGCCGGTGGGACTGCGGAGCCAGGAAGTAGGGAGCCGGATGGTCGGCTCACTGCGTTAGAACAGCTCCCTCTCAGGACCTGGCTGGGGTCGCATGAGATCTACACTGACCCCGCCCAGGGCCGTCCCGTGTGACCTACTCACTTCCCACTCAGCTTCCCCACCTCCCAGCATCGCCACCGGGGACCAAGCCTCCCACACACAGCCTTGGGGGAGAGACGACATCCGCACCGTAGCCCCAGGCCTTTTCTGCCGCGAGAGACTGACTGCTGGGAGTGCACGACTGGGTGCCCGTATTCTGGCTTCTGGTTGGATTCACCAAGGGAGGCACCAGCCAAAGGCGGGTGTGGGGAACTTATTACTGATCCCTCCCTGCTCTGGGCTCCAGCTATGAGTTTCTGACTACAGCTCCTGCCAGGCAGATGTCTCCTCGGTGCCAGGCCTGAGGGTGTGTGCCAGTTATCAATTTTTATTGCCTCTCAGCTCCAAAGTCGTCCTTCAATGCCTGTTCTGCAATAATAGAGTTTTAAAGCATCTTTCCTTTGCAGTGAGCAAAATGTAAACCTTTCTCAGTAGAGGGCGCTAGTGGGACACTGTGGCTCTCTGCTCCTGTTTTCTCACCCACCTTCGTGCAATCCCAGGGTCAGGCCAATCAGCCTCTTCCAGGCTTCACTGATTGGCTCAGGAGTGGGCGGGGTCTAAGCTGCTCCAGTCAGAGCAGATCTCAGGATTTAGGGAGGAGCTGTGCAAAAGATGCCTGGGTCTTTCCTGTGGGACTTACACTTGAGAGGACGAAAGTCTGGGTTTCTGCAGCCCTGTTATCACCATGAGGGGAGTCTTGAGTGGCCAGGAATCACCATGGGAACAAGAGTGGAGCCAACAGAGCAGAAATTGTAAGATGGAGAGAAACTGACTCCTCATGACACAGCGTAGCTGCAGCTGCCACGGCTGCGGCCTTTTCAGTTATGTGAGCCTGTAATTAATTACTTTCTCTCCCGGCCACCCTCCTCATCACATTTTTCCCCCCATAAGCCACTTTGAGTTGAACTGTCTGATATCTGGGAACAGAATAGTCCTACTTAATATAATGGCTTTGGGGCAAGCCCATTACTGCTCACCTCCTCTTTTCCAGGCACTTTGCTGCATGATCTCACTCACTCCTTCCTGTCCCCACTCGGCCCTGACAGGAAAAGTCAGCATCATCTCCATTTTCCAGGTGAGAAAAACAGTGCTCAGAGACGGCAGGCGACCAGCTCGAGGCGGCCCAGCTCACGGTGGTCGAGGCGGGATGCAGGCAGCCGGGCAGCAGAGCGCACGCCAGCGCCACCCTCTCAGGGGCAGGGCGGGCACCGAAGCAGGGAGGCCGTGGGCCTCATGGGCTCTGGCTGCCGCTAGGGGCGGGGCAGGGGTGCAGTGGAGGCCGAGGACTGCACAGTAACGTGGCGCCACGTCCATCACACTGTCAGATCGAGGCAGCTTGACGGCGCATTTGTAATTAGAGAGCGAGAGGCCGGGTTCTCCTGCGAGTGTGTTAATTAGTCAGCCCCTCTCCATTGTGGAATCATGAACACCATTAAAGAGCTGCTCTTTATTAGCACTTCGGCCGCCTATCCTTGCTTGAGGCCCTAGAGATTTCCCTTCCTTTTGTGTTTCAGTCGCCCCTGTAGGGCAGGTGTCAGGCTTCCCCGAGAGGAAGAGCTAGCAGTGCAGGGAGGGGCAGTACCTTCATGGGGCTGCACGCCAAGGCAGCGGCTTGGCAAGAATAAATCTGGAGATGCCCTGGCTCCCAGCCCCAGGTTCCTCTCTTTGTCCTGAAACGCATCGTGAGTCCTGTTGCTCTGCTTCTTCAGTGTGGTGGGAGTTATGAAAGGTTTGCTGATTGACCCTTAGAAGGCTGGTGTGCCTTCGTGGACAGAGTGTGAGGCTCTGCTTTCAGACACTTATTGCTGAGGGCTTCTTGAGAGGCCAAGAGGGTTCATGGGAAAGCTCACAGCACTCTTTCCATGGTGCCAGCTCCATTCTCAGGCTCCCTTTCTATGGGAGTCAGGTTTATTATATCCAGAGAGGAAGGGAGATGGGCTCTGCTGATAGGGCCTGTAAAAATCTCAACATCTCTCCCAAGGAAGGGGTTCAGGACTGGCAACTCTAATGTGTCCTCCTGTGGGCTCCCATGTTTCTGTTTTACCACCCAATGCCCTTGACTTTTATCCTTATGGTTGCCTTAAGGCCCAAGAGAGGTGCTGGAGATCCAGCAATCACATCTATGTTCCAGGTACAAGAACAGAGATGAGTCATCTTTTCCCTTTTAAGGGTACTTTTTAAGGTCCCCTACAAGGCATTACTTACATTTTTTCTGACCAGAACTCATTTATCTGGCCATGTCTTGCTGCACAGTAGGCTGAGAAATACAGAGTGCCTGGTTCTATTACTAAGGTGGAAAGGCAGGGTGGATGGCTGAATGGCCACTGTGTTTCTGTCCCACAGCCACCACCAGATGCTGGGGAGGATGCTGAGAAGGCAAATACAGGCACCAATGAGTTGGTTGTGAGTGTTGTGCCTGGGTCTCAGAGTGCCTCCTCTGTGGATTGGGTTTTGCAGAAAGAGCCTGGATTCGAGGCCAGGAGCTTTGAGGGGAAATTCTGGCCTCCACACAATGACATGGACACCAGTGGCCTCTGTGGCTGAGTTTCTCCGCCTGTGAAGTGGGGTGATAACCTATCCTCAGGGCGCTGAGGATGTAGTCAGGGGCAGAGCACTTGCCTAGCACGGTGAGGTCCTGGGTTCCATCTCTAGCACTGAAAAAAATCCCACCAGCCAGGAATGCTTCTGGCTGCAAGCAGAGAACTCCCGGCCACTGGTAGGGTGAGCACCCCACCCGGGTTCCCGGCCCCTTTCTGGGTTTAGCATGGGACGCTGACTGCTTGGGGAAGCATCCTGGGGGCCCTCTGGCCTGGCGGGACGGAGGCCATCTGAACTCAGAGGGCCGCTGCAGTGCCTGGGCAGGTTCAGCTCTCAGCGCTGTCCTCTCGGACCCCTGCGGGCACCGGCGCCCTTCAGATCGGCCACCGTGGCATCCTTGGTCACAATCTGGGTGCTCAGCTCCAGCTCCTGCTGTCTGATTCCCAGGAAGCAGGGGCTGAAGCGGGGCTCAAGTGGGGTTATTTATCAAGGAAGTGCTCTTCACAGACACCAGTGAGGGTGGCCGGGATTGGGCAGGGGAAAGAGACAAGAGGAGGTGTGGCGTGGGCTGGGGTTTGGCAGCAGCAGCCCAGTCCCGAGGAAAAGCTCTTCCTCCAGGCCAGGGCCCAAGGGTGTGCGGCCTGCCCATGGGTCGCTGCCCTGGGCTGTCACCTCCCAGGTTCCCTGTGGGTTGCGCTTCCTGGCCAAGTCGGGGCAGCCATGACTACAGGAAACCCGCACATCTGCCCGCTGCCCGCCTTGATGCCCACAGGGCTGCAAGGGGAGAGCAGGCTTCTCTCCAAGGGGAGGTTCACCCTGACCATCTTCCTCTGCTGTCTCCTGGGCCAGGGCAAAGTGCTTGGCCTCCCTGGGATGCATTGGCAAGGGCGATGGGATTACTGGGGTTGGCCCAGACCCCAAGCCTGGGCACAGTGCATCCTGGGGCAGCTCTGGGGCCTGGCCTGGCAGTGGGGAACAGGGGAGCGGGGTTCATGCAGCAACTGGCGGTGTCTGTCCCCCAAGTGCCAGGGCTGTCGTGAAGTCACAGTCCAAAGACCCAAGTGGTGACGACGTATTTCCCCTATAGATCTTGTCCCAGGCCCTGGCAGGCAACTATGTTAGGACCCCGCAGGGCAGGTGCCACCCTGCAGCTGTCCCAGGCCCCTCTGCCAGTGCTGCTCTTGCCTTGGCATGTGGAGGAGCTGAGAGGCCACCCGAGTCTTTCCTTGACCCCTATATCACTGATTGGGGCTCTACTTGCAGGGTCTTCTCCGTTTATTCTCTGATGGAGGCAAACCACTGCTTAGCAGCTGGAGAAGGGACTAAGATCCTTCAGCCTCAGAAGCAAGGCCTGCTTCCCTCACTGCTTCGGAATTGCTAGGCTAATTGCAAAAGACCCTTGAATTTTCTAAAGTGAGGCACTTTCTATTTCATTCTGTCTCTCTCCCTCTCTCCCTCCCTTTCTCCTTCCCACCCTCTCTCTGTACTGCAGACTGAACCCAGGGTCTTCCCACCTAGTTCCTCAGACCCTTTTAAAGAAGCCCTTTTAAATTTTTGAGACAGGGATCTTACTAAGTCACTAAGTTACCCAAACTGTGTTTGAACTTGCAGCCTCCTGCCTTAGCCTCCCAGAGTGCTGGGATTATAGACATGCACCATGCTTGGCCCCCTGCATCGTATTTATGAATAAACAGATGCAGTTCATCTCATTAAATAGATGTTATTAAAAATGATTCTAAGCCAGCCCAGTGGTGCATGTCTGGAATCCCATCTACTTGGGAAGCTGAGGCAGGGGGATCATAAGTTTGGACCCAGCCTGGGCAACTTAGTGACTTAAAGAGACCCTGTCTCAAAATAAATAGTCAAAAGGGCTGGGAATGTAACTCAGTGGTAGAGCACTTGCTTAGCCTTCATGAAGTTCCAGGTTCAATCCCAGTTTTTTTAAAAAGTCTAGCCCCTCTTTTTTGGGTCCCCCATGTATATAATAACAAATATGGTAGAATGGAAACAGCTATCAAGTAACCCAGCCCCAAGATCTAGTTTTATCATTTTTTTAAAAGTGAGGGCAGTTGGTGGCTTAAATCTATTTCAACCAAGAGAGCCTGGACATTTATAGGTCATTTGGGTAAGTAGCATGTTCTTTTCTGTAAAAGCAAATGAAAAGACTGTTTTGGGCTCTGTTTTATGGTCGCAAACACCAGTTCCACAGTATCTTTTCATCCTTTTAATTCAAAAGAAATGAAGATTCCAAGTGGTGGAGGTTGCTTTCAAGCAGAAATCATCAGGAGACCTGGGTATGGGGACCGTCTGTTCAATGTCACTACAACAGTGATGCTGAGGGACTTACTTGCCAGATGCAGAGGGACTCACTGATCCATTTAATGTTTACTGTGCAACTACTGTGTGCTCAGGGCTGTCCTGACGGAGTGCTGCTGAGAAGGTCCTGTGCTGTCATGGGACTGACCGTTAAGTCACGGGCACACAAGTATGTCCCCTGTGGCTTGGTTATAAGGGCATTAGGGCAGGACAAAGAAGGATCGAAGATAACTGCTGAGGGGCCAAGAGTTGGGTCCCCATGGGCTCATGCCTGGCCACGGAATGGGGTGCACAGGGAGACACCAGGGCCAGTTAGAAGGTGAGGGGCCCGAAGGTGTGGTTTCCTTGGGAAGAATGGGAAAGGCAGAGCAAGCTGGCTGAGGGCTGGCTGCTCTGAACAACCCAGCCACTCTGGGCCGCTGGGGCTGTTCCAGAGGCACCTGGCCTCGGGATGGTGTGGGCAGCAGACAGCACTCTGGAGTGTGACAGCCCCGTGCAGGAGTGGTTGGGTGTGTGTCTGCATGTGACAAGCATGCTCCAGGGGAGTCACTCCAGCCCTGGGAGGAGCAGGCCTAGGGTTAGAGCATCAGGATATTAAAAAATGAAACAATAGTTGACATCTGGGGACATTCTGGGAATGCAGTCTTTTATACAGAGCTCAGAGAGTCAGAGGAGGCCTCTCTGTTTAAGTGACATCTAAGCAGAGTGAGGAGCGGGAACAAACAATGTGGGGAGAGTCCTCTGGACTGAGACAACAGCAAGTGCAAAGGCCCTGAGGTCTGTTCGGTGAATAGAGTTTATGTAGGTGTAAAGGAGAGATGTAGGGGAAGCAAGGCCAGACCAGCAAGGTGGGCCGAGGAGGAAATTCACCAGTGGTGGTGGTATGGGGCAGGGTTGGGGCTCTGAGCAGAGATGAGCAGGATCTGACTTGAGTTCTAATGGAGTCCTTTGCTGCAGTGTGCAGAATAGAGGGGGAGCAGAAGAGGAGCAGGAGGAGGCTGAAATGGCTTGGGGGAGAGTATGGGGGTCCATTTGAGGGCCAGGTCTGACAGGACCAGAAGGGGTAGGGTGAAGGAAAGAGGCAGGAGAGGAGCACTGGTGTCAGGAGAAATATTTCTTTCTTCAGGAGGAAAAGAGCTGTGAGGCCATTTTAGTAAATGGTAATCAGAGCAAAAATAATGCCTGTATCCCTGTCATCCCTCATGTTATGGTTCAGATCTAAAGTGTCCCTCAAAAGTCTTTGTTTTTGGAAGGTGCTTGCATCGTGGAGCGCTGTACTTCTGAGTGGATTCATCTGTTGGTGAGTTCCTGGCTGAAATGCTGTTAGGGGGTGGGGCCTGGTTGGAGGTGGTCACTGGGGGCACCGCCTGCAAGGGGTATTCTTGTCCCTGACTCCTCCCTCCTCTCACTTCTTCCTAGTCTCCACAAGGTGAGCTGCTTTCCTCCACCAGGTCCTTACACCATGTTGTTCTTTCTTGAAGCCAAGGAACCGTGGACTGAACCCACTTGGAAATCATGAGTCCAAATGAACCTCGCCATTTAAATTGCAAGTGTTAGCTATTTTGTGCCAGCAATGGGAAAGCTAATACAGCACATGTATGGAAATACTTTATTCCCTTGTGTTTTTATTGCGAATTATCAGCAACTGTAGGGCAGCGACTGGGACTACTGCAGTCCTGCTTTGCTTGGTTGCTCGTTCCCAGCTGCTATGGCAGGGCCTGGATCAGCAGAGGGGCACTGGAAACCTACATCTGCCGCAAAGTTTCCCACAGGGGATGTTTCTCTGCCCAGCGCTGCCTCCGTGGCTGGCGAAATGTCAGGTTTCTCTACCACTGGGCCGTTTCACTGAAGGCAGTTCTCCACCTCACCCTGGCCCCAGAAACTCCCTGCGCCCACCAACATCAGAAGTGATATTTAAAAAAAAAAAAAAAAAAAAAAAAAAAAAAAAAAAAAAAAAAAAGTGTTTTTTTTTTTTTTTTTTTTTTTTAGTCAAGTGTGTAGCTCAAGGCTTTGGGTTAAGTGCTAAAAGCTCCCAGCTGCACCCTCTGGAGGCCCTCCTTGGCGGAGCAGCACTGCCTGGCCTGGATGAGCCAAGCGGTCAGCACTGTGGCAGTCAGGTAAGGCAGGTGAGGCCCCGTCAGGCAAGGACAAAGATACACCCTGCTTCCCGGCCCCCACTTTTATTTAATGTTTAGGTGTTTTATTCACTATGGTGGCATTGTTTAAATTTGTTAAAATAATGCACTAAAATATCATTTATCTTGATAACTGAGTTTTCTGGTTTGCCCTGAAATTTTGTACTGGGACAAGTGCCTCATGCATCTCACCCTCGTCCTTGCCCTGTGCAGAGCAGGGCCTGGGCCTCTGTATGCTGTGCCGGCCCCGCCAAGCTAAGTCCACAATGGGGCATGGCCCTGTGACCTAGGAACCTTGGAGGGCCTGTTGCTCTGTTTCCGCTACAGCAGGGGCTTCCACACAAAGCTGTATGGAGCTACCTACCTGTGACAGGGTTAAAATCGAGGCCTCATTCGTGTGGGGGCAAGGAATTATGCCCCCATTAATTGCAGCTGCTCTTGTTTGGATGTCTGGGCTTTCTGCATCAGTTCCAAGAACAATGGTTCCCTTGCTAGAAAGGGGCAGAAAAGCCTCAATCTAAAAGCTGATTGTGGTTCTAGAAGCAGCTTGTAAGGTGTCTGGAGTCTCCCTGTTTCTTTTCTTTTTTTCTTTTTGCTATATGGGGGTTTGAACCCAGAACTGTGGACATGCTAGGTAAGTGCTCGATTACTGAGCTACATCCGCAGCCCTTTTTAAAGTTTTATTTTGAGACAGGGTCTTGCTAAGTTGCTCAGGCTGGCCTTAAGCTATGGATTCCCCTGCCTCAGCCTCCTTCTTAGCTGGGATCATAGGTATGTGCCACCCTGTCTGGCCTTCCAGTTGGTTTTTTTTTTTTTGGTACTGGGGATCAAACTCAGGACCTTGCACTTGCGAGGCAGGCCCCAGAACCACTGAGCTAAACCCCCGGCCCTTCCTGTTTCATAACTAAGGTCAAGGGCCCCTGAGCCCACAGCACTGTGAGCCCAGCCCTTTTGCTCCTAGGTGAGGTCTTGGTGTCCAGTCTGTGCCTTAGCCTTGGTCACCAGGACAGAGCATAATTTGCAAGATGAGACCACAAGTCCTGACCACTGTGTCCAGGCCTCCGTCCTCAGCCTGGGGGACAAGGAGCCTTCCCTCCGGGCGCTGCCCCACCCAGGGCTCCCTCCTCCATTCCAAGTGGCATTTGCTATTTCACTCCCTGAGTTGTAAAGTGCTGCATTCCATGCTGACTGCTTAGCATTTTCAATTGCCTCTGATTCTCAGCCACTTTCAAGGGGGAAAAGGTCATTCCATAAACCTGAGGTGCTAGTGTGACGATGGCAGTGCTGGATCGCTATGACACCCTCTGCGCTGGGGACAGGGGAGGGGAGAGCTAATTAATCGGAAATCTTACTTTGCAGGCGAGAGTCACTGGAAGCAGGTGTCAGGGGGCCTTTAACGAGGCCCTCGTGACTCGGATGGTATTTTCACTCCGTCTCACCGTGAGTCTACCGTGCTGACAGCTGTGCCTCCCCGGGAAGGGGAGAGAGAGGGACGTGGACCCCTTTTGGAGGACCCAGCCTCTAAAACTAATGGCTTCCCGAACTCCAGCCCTGTCTCGTTTTCCTTCATTTGTTCATTTTGTGCAGTGAGCGTGCATTGAGCACCTACTAGGCGCCAGCCCCGAGTGACGTGCTGGGAGTTAATGAGGAGTCCTGCTGCTGGGGCCCTGCCAGGCTAGACCGGCCTGCTCACTCAGGAGATGGACGGGCGCTAATAGACGAGAGTGGACTGCGGCAATCCCGGCGGATGAAGACCAAGCAGGGTAGGGAGAGCCTGGTGGCGGTGGCGGTGTGGGCTTTGGAGGAGTGGCTCTCTGGAGAGGACGGGAAGAAGCCAGCCACTCAGTGCTCTGCAGGAGGAGCATTCCTGACGGAGGTGGGAGAGGAGCTGGAGAGGAGCTGGAGAGGAGGGCAGCGCCACAGTCCGGGTGCTCGGCTTTATTGTGGCGGTAAAGCGCGGCCCTCAGGACCCGGATGGGGCCCTTGGCGCAGTGCTTCTAAGTTGTGTTTCCCTTGCCGGGTGGGCGAGGTGGGGGCCGAGGCACGGACAAGGGGCGTGGGACGAAGAAAGTGAGGGACGAGCTCGCGAGTGCGACGTGGGTGCCGGACACAGCGGGAGGACTCCGGGCTGGCCTGGGTACGGGCATCTGCGTGCCCTGCTGTCGGGGCGCGGGGCGGCTCGGGGTGCCCTGTAGGTCTTTGGGGCACAGGGGGCCTCTGGGGGCTTTTGTGCGCCTCTCAGACTGTCTGGGAGCGGCAGCCCCATGGTGGGTGTAGATTTCGATTGGGGCAAGCGGTGTGAAGCCTTTTTTCTAGTATTAAATAAACTCAGAGTAGAAGAACAATGCGTACTGTTATTTAAAGATACAAGGAAGTGATTTTACCTTTGAAGTCAGCTGTGCTGAGGGGCTCTTTGGTGTCCTTTGGATGCCTTGAGGGAAGGTTTGAGAAACAGGCCTTGAGGTGTAAAGGAGAACAGAGGATGGGAAAGAAGGAAGAAGACTGGGAAGAGGGCCAGGGAGTGAAGCAGAAGCGAGAAAGGGAAAGTGCCTTTTCTGGGAGTTTCTTAAAGGTCTGTGGTCCTCCTCTTCCTCCCACCCAGAGGGCCCCAGCGGCCCCAGCCACAAGCCCTCCCGTTGTTCCTCTTCTCAGAGGGCCCTTGTGTGGAGGCCATTTCCTTTCCTTCGCCCGCCTCCTTCCCCAGGACACGGTCCACACTACAGACACGCGTAGCTGCTGTATTTTTCTCCAAGCAGGCTTCACTGGGTGGGCTATTTACACGCGAGCAGCATAAGCCCTTGCCGTGCTGAGGGGAACAGACACCGGGCTGGGGTGGGCGGGGAAAGCAGCCATGGCTGGGCACTGGGCTTCCCAGCTTGCCTTTCCCTTCTGGACCCCTGCGATGGTGTGGCGATGTCCCTCCTGTGGGTGGCTCTGGGCCGTGCTCAGAAGCGGCATGTCTCTTCGGAGCCTCCCATGGCAGATGGCAGCAGTGTCAAGCCACGGGTGGCAGGCAGGGTGGGGGGTGTCCTTTGGGTTCAGTTTTTGTCTCTGGTGTCCGAGGAAGCACTTCCGAACAAGATGTCACTGTCCTGGGACATGTCGCTCAGCTGCGACTTGGTTTTGATGAGGAACTGGGCCCTGCGGAACATGACCCGCTCCTGCTCCTGCTTGAGCTCCAGGTAGGAGCGGGAGAAGGTGTGGAAGATGGAGGTCACCGGGAAGGCCATGAGCAGGATGCCGCTGAGGATGCTGCTGAGCGCCACCACCTGGCCCGGGGTGCTCCGGGGCACCATGTCCCCGTAGCCCACAGTTGTCATGGTGATGACGGCCCACCAGTAGCAGGCGGGGATGCTGGTGAACTCGGGGCTGTCTGCCATCTCATTCTCGATGACATAGAGGAGGGGTGCGAAGAGGGCGATGGCCACGCACAGGAAGAGCAGCAGCAGGCCGAACTCACGGGTGCAGCGGCGGGCCGTGAGCCCCAGCGTCTGCAGCCCCAGCGAGTGGCGGGCCAGCCGCATCACGTACAGGATGCGCAGTGCCCGCAGCACTCGGAGCACCAGCCCCACCTTGTCCAGGTAGCTGTTGCCCGAGCTGGGCTTTCGGCGGCCTGAGGCGGCGCCATCCACCATCAGGGTGACATAGTAGGGCAGAATGGCCACCAGGTCGATGAGCGTCAGCGGGCTCCGCAGGAAAGCGAACTTGCTGGGTGCTTGGATGAAACGCAGGAGGAACTCAAGGGAAAACCAGCCCACACACACCGACTCCACGATGAAGACGTTGTGGCACATCTGGGAACACTGGCCCTGGGGGAGAGGGAGCCGTCAGTGGTATCCCCAGCAGGCAGCTCTGCCCTGGGTAGGGGCTGGGCTCCGGGTGGGAAAAGGACCTAGGCCCGGTCCACCTGCCTTGTCCTGTGGCCAGGGCTCCTCTCTCTAGAGATGTCCATTCCCAGGCCATCAAAAACCACACCTGTACTGGCTGCTCACCTCTCCCTCCAAATGCCCTGACCTCCAACTGCCTCTCTGATGTCGGGTGCAGGCATCTGCCAGGGCCTCAACTTGGCACGTTCACAATGGGGCGCCTGCTTCTCTCTCCCAACTCGCCTGTGGCCGCCCCTCCTTAGCTATTGCCAGTCCCATTTTTCAACTGCCCGGCCTCATCCCTACTCCGTCTCCTGCCTTACACACAATCTGCAGGGCTTTTCACTGGCTCTTCACAGAAAACAATGCTAGAAGCAAGCGGCTTCGGTCTCTCCCCCGGCTCCTGCGTGGGTGCACTCACCCCTACAGCCTGTTTTCTCACATAGAGGGCCCCCAGACCATCAACAAGGTCCCATCCTTCCTCTGCGGGGGACCTTCCATGGCTCAGCGAACAAGTGGGGTGCTCCACAGTGCACACGGCCTTTCCAGCGGTCCATCCATCTGCCCGTCTGTCCTTCCACTCCTCCCTTCCCTCTGACTTCCTTGCTCTCCCCTCCCCTCCTCGATCACCTGCTCCACCTCATAGCCCTCCGGGTCGCTCCCCTAACTCTCCAGCCCAGCCCTCAGCTCCACCCGACTCTGCCTTCCCCTCCTCCAGCTCTGCGCCTCCAGTCACCCCCACTCAGGGAGACCTTCTTGACCCTTTTTCTTTAAGAACCCCTCCTTTCCTTGAACCCTCCCCCTTTATTCTGTTCTATTTCTTGAGAGCTCATCATATTTTCCTGGGCTCTGCAAGTTACCTGTTTCTCACGCTTACTGTCTGTCTCCACCTCCCAGCTCCTCACCAGCTGCCCCGGCAGACAGGGCAGCCTACAAGCCACATTCACTGCCTGGACCCCACTGCAGCCCCGACACACGGCAGGTGTCTGACACATGGCTTTAGAGAGATGAAGAGAGGAGGTTTAGACTGGAGCTTAGAAGTGTGTGTGTTACTCTCAGAACCATGAGGGACCAGGCAGGCAAAGAAGTGGGGAGACGGGGGGAGGGAGAGACCCCACTGGAGAGCCCCTAACTTTGCCCTAGAGGAATTCAGGTTAAGGCTGCTTGAAGAAGCTTTTAAGAGAAGCTGGAAATCTGCAGTTTTATGTGAAATCCCTGGTGATAACTGTTGGTTAAATAGATAATATGTTGATTCAAGTGCTGGTGATAAAATGCAAGACAGAGAAAACATAGCATGGGCCAGGAAACGCAGCCTCGCACTGGATCTGGCACGTGGGCTGCCAGCCTCTCCACTGGTCTGCAGCATGACTGGACAGCAGGCTGCTCTCCGGGGGCTTGGACCGCAGCCTTAAAGCAGCCTTTGGCATCGAGGAAAAGCACAAATGGCCCTGCCAGCAGCCTCCTGTAGGCTCTTGGGCACGGTTGGGCTCCATGATCCGCCTCTAGGAGGTCTCTCAAGGAATGTGCTAGACAGAGGCCGGAGAAGTGAATGATTACCTGGGGCTTTGATGTCAAAAGCTTTCCAGGACTGCACGCCCTGAGTAGCTCTAGACACCCATGGGCCTCTCATAGAGTTCTCTCGTCAGGTGCCCGTACTTATGGTCATGGGGGGTGGTCATTACCCCACCCAGCCCCAGTAGACCGGAAGCTGGCTGAGGTTGAAGGACTTGTCCTGGTCTCCCTGCCTCCCCTGCAGTGCCTGCACACAGAAGGGACTTACTGTGCACACAAGGACCAAGTGAACAATGAATCCTACTGGCACCAAATGAGGCCAAAAAGCAACAAAGTTGATTGAATCATATAAAAGGCCAGGAATTATTATTAAGAAGCATTATGAGGGCCGGGGGTGTAGCTCAGTCCAGAGCACTTGCTAAGCATGCACAGTGCCCTGAGTTCCATCTCTAGCACTAAAAAAAGAAAAAAAAAAGGAAGAAGGAAAGAATCTGTACGAAGTCCCTGGACTGCCAGACAGATGTCATAGGGAGTGTGCTTGCTCCTTGGGCAGCAGGTGTGTGTGAATCCTTACAGCCAGTGCTTCCCACACACACATATGTGCCAGGCACTATTCCAGTCACCTCACACAGGCTCCAGCTCACAACACTGCTCCGCCCCCCTGACAGGGGAGATACAGACACACAGACAGGCCTAGAAACGTGCCCGATTACACAGTCCCTGGCTCTTGCCTTGCCCCCGGCTCATCAAATGTTAATTTTGTTGGTCGAGTGCTGTTTTCTTAATATCCTTTTAAAAATTCAAAGTCTAAAAATGGTGCCAGCAAATCTCTGTAGGTTATAAATGCAACAGCCATTGCTACCTCCTCCATAATATCCACAAGTGGGAAGTCTCACATGGAGAGCACCCCCAATGCCAGGTCCAGGTGGATACGAAATGGGGAGTATATACAGGTGCTCAATAAACTCGGGCTGCTATGATATCTATCTACAGTTCACACTGCATACCTAGTTCTCAAAAGTCTATACAATTTGTCCCCGTCTGAGACTTTCTGGTTTTTCTTACAACTTGCTTCAAGTGGGCTGGGGATTTAGCTCAGTGGTTCCGCCACCTGCCTCGCAAGCGCAAGGATCTGAGTTCGATCCCCCGTACAAAAAAAACCAAAAACCAAAAAAAAAAAACCTGCTTCAAGGGGCCACATCTCAAAGAACCAGGGGTCTAATACATAACGAGCCTGAACGAGGGGGATGTATCCCCTATGGAATCAGCTCCCTGCTAAGGCTGTCAAACAGGATTGCAGGCCAGGGGATGAGCTTGTGCTTGCTGAGCAAATACTCTTGCACCGAGCTACATACTGAGCCCTGACCTTATAATTGTAAGAGGAACTTAGAGTATGCATTTTTAAATGGAAAGCTTTTTTTTGTGTGGTACTGGGATTGAACTTGGGATCTTCATCTGAGCTACATCTGCAGCCCTTTTTCATTTTTAAGTTTTGAGACAAGGCCTTGCTAAGTGGCTGAGATGTCCATGCTGGCTTTGAACGTGCCATCCTTCTGCCTTAGTCTCCCAGACTCCTGGGAGGATCACATGCAGCACCACACCCAGCTAGCACTTTACATTTAAATGCTGGCAGCCAAGGCAGCGGTTGGGAAGAGGTGTGTAGGCCAATGACAGACTTCTGTGGGTCATACTGGGTCCCCAGGCTGCCACGGGGATGTGCATTTCCATGTTTAAGAGCAGGCTGTGGATTCAGTCAACCCGGGCTTGGCAAGCTGCAATGCCTGCCTTAGTGTCCTCCTCTGCTGAGTGGGCATGACAGCGCCTCCCCCAAAGGGTTACCACAGGATTTCGGGGAGAAGATAAAACGGAGGCAGAGCAGCAGCCCAACTTGGGCTCCGGTGACTGATGAGTACCGGGAGCCTCAGGCTGGAGCGCACAGGCATGTCAGGGCTGCAGTCAATACATGCTTTGTTTCTTGCAGACAGGCTCCCATCCAGGGACAAACACACACCTATCATAAAAATCATTTTCCAGACCCAGGAAGTGTGTCTGGGCTATAATTATGCAGGGGAATTAGGAAGGCCAAGAAAAGATTGGAGTTGGTGAGAGGAACACTGATGACAGGCACCGTGCTCAGCTCATCACCCGTGCATTGGCCGACAGCGGCAGGCGGCCTCCTCCACTCAGCACGGGGTCCTGGGGAGGTGGGGGACAGCGGGGCCCAGGACAGTCACATGGTAACAGGGTGGAGGGCAATACGCATACAGTCACACTAACAGCCTGGTGTCAGGAGGGCCGCGAGTGCTACTCGGCTGCCTGCAGTCAGGGAAGGCTTCCCGCAGGTGGCGGTGGGGGGCGGGCTGAGGGGCGTGGAGGGGGAGCGAGCATCAGACCCTTCCCCCGCCACAGCCAGGCTCTTACCTGCTCCTCCTCCTCCCTCAGGCTGGGCAAGGTGCTGACCGAGAGGTTGACAGCAGTGACGGTGACAAAGAGCACCGACAGGCAAGCGAACACCTTGCCCGGCAGCCCCGAGTGAGGCCGCTCCACCATGTCGCGCAGTCTCCGCATGCAGCGGCTCAGGCGGCCCTCGCCTGACTCAGGGCCGTCGCTGTCTCGGGCCTCGCTGTCCAGCGCGTCCTCCTCATCCTCGCGCTCCACCATCTCGGCGAACTCCTCGATCTTCTGCAGGTAGCGGCGCTTGCAGCAGCGGTCCAGGTGGTCCTCGGCGATGCCCCAGTACAGCAGCTCCTCCTGGAAGGACAGCGCGCACATCTCCCGGAGCAGCCGCAGCTTCCCGGCGCGCAGGAAGGTGAGGATGGTGCCGAAGGCCCCGGGGTTTCGGTCGAAGAAGAACTCGTTGCAGGTCACATCATAGTCATCGCACACGTTGAGGATGTCGTCGAAGTTGGTGCAGGCCTTGAGCTGGCCCAGCCGTGTCATGGGGAACTCGTCCAGCGTGGTCCAGGGGAGCGAGTACTTGATGCCGCCCACGTTGATGATGATCTGTCGGCGGCGGTCCCCGGGACCCGGGCTGCCGGGGTGCGGGGCGTCCTGCGGACGCAGCCGCTGGGCGCGGCGGTAGAACACGCCCTTGAGCGCCTGGCTCTGTGGGAAGAAGGCCGGGTGGAAGGAGGCGTCCGACGTGCAGCTCAGGGCGCTGTAGTCATAGTCTGAATTGTCTCCCGGTAACAGGGTCATTTTGGGCCTTTACATCCCTCTGCGGCCTGGAGGGAGAAGGAGGGAAAGACTCTCGGTGAGCCCCTTGGATCCGCGCAATACTCCCTGCCCTGGGCTGAGGTCTGTGCCGCACCCCTGCGGCCCCAGGTTGAAGCCTGAACCTCCAGTGTGATGGGATTAGCAGGTGCAGGCTTTGGGACGTGGCTAAGGTGAAGGAGGACAGAAGAGTGGAGCCCCGGGTGGAGACTTGTGTCCCTAGAAGAGGAAGGGACTCTGAGTTTTGTATGGCCTCCCGAGGACAGTGAGAAATTGGGAGACCGAAACCCCAAAGAGCTTCCTTTCCAGACCCCAGTCTGCTGACTCCAGCTCTCCAACTTCCACGCTTCAGAACCATGAGAAATACATGCCTTTGGTTTCAGGCACCCTGGCTAACACTTTGTGACTAAGAAGACCTTGACCTAATAGTCAGCATAGCAACAGTATCCCTCAGCATCTCCTCATTATACAACCCTGTTCCTATCTCATTTATGCCAGGAAGTGCTGAGCAGGTGGTGCTTTAGGCACCGGGTTGCAGCAGTTCTGACTCAGGTGAGTCCCCACCTCCAAGCGCTGACAACCAGTGGTCCCTCCTGCCATCCCTGCGGTTATTTACTTAACACTGTACTTTAAATGCACCCAACTTTCTTCTTTCTTGCTTCCTCTCTCTCTCTCTCTTGAATTCATTTAGCTTGGAAAGGCACGTTAGTATAGACCAGTGGTTCTTAACTAGGGCTAAGTGTTTTCCCTTGGGACACACGGCAATGCTTGGAGGCACTTTTGATTTTCCTGACCAGAAAATGCCAGTCGTCAAGTGGGTAGAGGCCAGGGATGCTGCTGAATGTCCTAGAGCACATGACAGCCCTCCACAGCAGAATTAGCTGGTCCCAAACATTCTCGATGCTGAGGTGGAAAAGCCCTGGCACAGGAGCGATACACATAAGTTTTAGTCATACACCCTGGGAGAGTTGCATAAATGCCATTTCTTTCTATTTGCTCAGTATAAAATGGGTATAGATAGCCATGTGACTCATTTCACAGGGTTACTGAGAGCACTAAGTGGATCATAGCCCCATGGGCACTAAACACAGTGCCGGGACCTGGAGGGTACTCAGGAATGGTGTTCACTATTGCTGTTAGGGTTCCTCTTAAAAGGGCACCTGGCATTGTTGCCATTAATGGGGAACAGCTGTCACTTGCCATAACAGCAGGCAGTGGACAAAGAAACACGTAATTATTAGGACAATGTCTTGTTTGCCCAGGCATTAGCAGATGTCACCTTGAGACTCATGGGGTGAACTGGACAGCCGTGCTTGTCCCCGTGGGAATCCTCCTCCAGCTCTTCCCGTGAACCCCACTGCTCTCCCCCTTCCAGTGGTGCATCATCTTTGGACCCTCACCACCCACTTTCAGAATGATCTGTGTGTGAGCTGGCTCCTTTGTTAGATTTCATGCTCCCTGGGGAGTACAGTGCCTCACTCATCTGAATCCCAGAGCACAGCGATGCACTGAGTGAGTGCACTTCCTGTTGATGAGGCCTATGGCATGAGTGCACTTCTGGGAAACTGAGGTCAAAATATCGGTCTTGTGGATGCCTTTCTTCTCAATCCCCAAAGATAAGGGTTTGCGGTACTGGAAAGTGATGGCAGATTCATTACCAGCTCCCGGGCTGAGTTTGGTTAATGAATATTTTGCTTGGCTGAAGTTTCTGAAAATTGAGAAATTTTTCATATAAAAATCCATGTTCTTGGCTCCTCTTGAAAAATCAGAATATGTGGCAACACTAGGCCCCAATTCCAACTGAGAAGTGGCTGCCCCCTTTGGGCCGGGCCCGCAAGCTCCAATCCACCACATCCTCACTCCTCCCTATTGGTTTTCTTACACCCACTCTACCTCATTCATCTGTCTTCCCTCTTGGCCCTTAGGATGATGCATAGAAAAGTAGTAAGAGCCAAATACTTTGCTTTTTAAACTGACCACCCCCTCCCTGTAGCTCACCCCCTAGTGGAAACAAATAGTAGTGCCCATGTTTATGGATTTCCAAATGGCAACCCACTTCTAATCCTGAGTGGCAACAGGTGGCCAGGGACATGTCTGGGACACACACACACTCACACACACACTCCTGCAGGGATGGGAAACTTCACGGGCACCCAGGGTGGGGGAAGAGTTCCCACTTGAAGGGGGATCTTTCCTAACAAGAAGGTGTCACATTCCACTCATCTTTGGGAAAGCTAGTTCACAGATCAAGATTTGGAAAACTGGGGTACACTTGTGTTTGAAATAAAAATGATTGGGTTTTAGAGTATTGAGTGTTTTTCACTTCACCTAAAATTGGAACCCATCTCCCAAGGCAAAGCCTGCCAGCATCCCTCGGAAGCGTGGGAATAATCCCTCTTAGGCATTTCACTGAGTGATACCGCTTTTCAGTTCTGCTGCTTTAGCGTTGCCACCAAAGACAAGACGAAAAATAATATTCTGTTTGGCAAGAGATAGAAGTAAAGGAACATTCTTCTTCCCTCAAGTCCCAGAGGGCTCTTGTCATGAACCCCTAGCCTGTAATCACCTCTTCTCTCCAGGAATCTCTTCTTTCTACCTCCCCGAGGGCCAGCAACTCCTCGCTTCTCTCCCTCACACCTGTCTCTGCTGTCTTTCCTGTGCAGAGTTCCCGTTCTGGCAGCTTGGACTCAAGGGATGGTAGCAGGCACTGCAAGGACAGTTCCCTCCAAGCCAGAGGCCCCAGAAGGGTCACAGGCTGGAATGTGCTAAATACAGAACGGGCACATTTCTCCCTGGCCTCGAGTCTTGCCAATACCCAATCTGATTGTGTGGGTGGACGGCTTGGCATCTCTAGACTCTAGAGAGTCAAGTTTATCAGTCAAACAGGGCCTAAAGCCCATGGGGCAATAATGTCCCTCCTCACCCAGCCTGATCTCCACCCCAGAAGCTAGGCCTGTCCTTCTCTCTAGGTCTACCCCATGGTGGGCTCTCATGGTTTTGCCTCGGAGAACTACGGCTGATCGGACACATGGGTGGAGGATGCTGCTTGGAAAAGAGGCTGTGTGGGTGGAGGTGAGGAAGTCCTGTGGGTGCTACCATTCATTCATTCATTCATTCATTCATTCATTCCTCAACACCCCCACACGCTGGAGGCTGTGCTGGCTCTGGGGACACAGAGAGGGTGAGACAGATCCCGACCCTGTACTTGTGGAGTTGACAGTCTCCAAATAAGTACACCAGTGCCTGCTGGTTGTAGTGAGTGCTGTGATGGAACAGTGCAAGGTGACAGATGGAGAATGACACAGGGTGGGGCAATATGAGCCGCAGGCATCAGGCTGCGCTTCTCGGAGGAGGGGACACGGGGCCGAGCCTCCTGGAGGGGAAGGAGCTACCCTGCGCATGCTGGGGGTGGGTGTTGCCAGGCAGAAGGAGCAGCAAGAGCTTGTTCCCTGACTTGAGAGGGGTTTGGGTGGGAAAGACCAGAGAGAAGGCGGAGGGGCTGGCCGAGTGAGGGCGGAAGGTGGGAGGAGATGCTCTTGGTCATCAGCTGGTTCCTCGGTAAGGAGCGGGCTTTGTTCTGTGGGGTGGTGCTGTGTCAGGGGCTGACTGTGGCGTTGGGGGGCCACGCTGTAGGAGGTGGTAATCCAGTGCGTGTGGGGGGTGCAGAGACCTGAACTGCTTCGGGGTGAACTTTGGAGGAAGAGCCAGCAGCCCTTGCAGAGGAAAAGGGCTTATGATGAGGGGAGGAAAGAATGGGGTGATTCCAGCATGCCTCTTGCCAAGGCAGAGGTGAGGAAAGGGAGGGGAAGGGTTCTCCAGCATCTCCAGAGGGGGCACGGCTTTGCCACCCTGGTTTTAGCTCAGGCAGACCTCTGGCTTCCAGACCTGTGAGATTAGTTTGGGTTGTCTTAAGCCCCCCAGTTTGTGGCAACAGGAAATAAACAGAAGGGATGGTGGAGATAAAACTGGCTCACCTCCCTGGTCGGGGGACACCCCTGGTGACTACCCTACACTGAGGCAGAAGAGCCCACTGGCTTTGAAATCAGGAGACCTGGGCTCAAAGCCAGTTGCTCCGTGACTCTGGGCAAATTGTGGAGTTGGCTAAGATTCAGTTTTCTTGTCTGTAAAATGGGGATGAAAACAGTGAGTTACAGAGAGGACAAAAACAGATGAGAGTGATCCTGACACACAGTGAGCCCTCAGCAGATACCAGCTGTACTGCTATTAGCTGAGGAGAGTGTCCCCACCCACACCCACCAGCCAAGGGTGTTTGCCTCTGACCTGACCCCCGTCGATATGAACCCAGCATCATTTGCACCCAGAGCCCGGGGCTAGAGGGGTACAGTCTTGTGCTGCCCTCTGGGAAAGCCACAGTAGGCCTGAAAGAAATGAAGGATGTTGTTGCCCTAGCACCCAGGAATCCCCCTCCTGGGTCTGTTTCTCAGACCCAGGGCCACAGGGATTATGGCAGATGTTGTTGGTGATAAATGATTTGTACTCAAATCTTTGACTCAGGGTTTGGTTCTGGGGCATCAGATCTAAGCAAGAAGGTACAAGAATGTCATCCTGTGTTACTGTAGCACCAGGAGGTCCCTAGTGTCCATCTTTAGGGAGTGGCCAAGTGAGGCACAGTAGATGCAGATGGGGGATCCTGCAGATGGCTCAGGAAGTAGAAGCAACGAATGAAATGTAGGTTCAGCAATACATTTAGCTCTTGAAAATACAGAGCCGAGTGGAAGAAGAAACTTCATACGAAGGAGAACAAGCAAAGGCAGCCTAGCAGAGGTCAGGGAGGGAGAGGGCTATCAGGTTGATGGGTGGGTCACACAACTCAGATTAAAACAGTAAAAAGAAGGCACAAGGGGCTGGGCATTTAGCTTAGTGGTTTCGCCGCCTGCTGTGCCAGCGCAAGGACCCGAGTTCGATCCCCAGTACCAAAAACAAAAAAACCCAAAACAACAACAACAACAAAAACAAAACAAAAC